CGCGCATGCTGTAGGCAGCGGGAGCAGCAGGAGCAGTGCGTCTGAGCAGTTTAAAGAGCACGTTGCTGATCTGGGAGTTGGCAGGCAGACAGGCAGCACTGATGATACAGAGTGCTATGATCACTCCTCTGAAACAGTTTATTAACGCCTAAATTAACTCAAAATGCAGAAATCTGCCGGCAAAGCATGTTTCGCTATTATTATCCTGGTGCCTGCAGTTTGGATTACGTACATCAAAAACGCCTTCCAGCCGCCGCGGCGAACTGCGAGGAGGTGACTGGGCCATAGGCTGCTGTTGAATGGGATTCCTAGTGACAGCGCAAAGCCGGTGTACGGGGGTCTGAGCGGCTCTGACAGAAATAATATTTGAAGGCAGGATGGTGATCTGGATGAACTAACTGCACTGATGAAGTTTTCAGGTGGACCCACTGATCACAGCAAATATAGCTGTCATTGTTAAAGGCAAAGAAAGGTTAGGGTAGCTCCGCCCAACGCGCATCAGAACCACTCCATTTCAGAAACCCAAATCTGGTCAAGCTGGCAAAGATGCTTCAGCTGCGCATCAGAACTAAACTGTTACAAGCATCAGAAATGAAGCAGCACGCATGTTTTGCTGCTCTTGCTGCTTTAGGTGTGAACGTAGCATAACAGTGGCTAGCTTCCAGCCATGGTGTCCTGCACGTCCTGCATTGGGGGGTCGATTAGTTCATTTGTCAGGGTACGCGCACAGGAGGGAGGGATAAACAGATGACCATGACTGACGTGTCAGGAACCAATCATGTACAACGGACCGTCTTTTGTGATTGGTTGAGGTTATTCATTGATTTCTCACTGTAGCGGGGACCATTGATTTTAGTTTCACTTTCAGAACTTCTACTTCACTGCTTGCTAAGCAGCTACCAAGCCACATGGTAAAAATACGTCTCCTACTGCACCTTTAATATCTGAAAGTCTCTTAGGCCAAAGGTGGCCATGACATATTACAAGTAAGCCAGCAGTTAGTATATATGAATGTGGGGCTCGGACCAACTCAGGCCCAGAAATGGTTCTCCACCTTCTGTGAAACAAGGTATTTCATGTGTATGAAAATGGAGGATGATGATGATCTATTTTTCATTGATTATGGTGATGATGATGGTCAGTATTGTCGGTTTTCAATAATCGGAATAAGAATATTAATGATATCCATCCATCCATTTCCTCCCTTGTCAGGGTCGTGGTGGGGCCGGTGCTCCTGCAGTCTATGGGCAGGAGACGACGGGGCACCCTGGACAGGTTGCCAGTCTGTTGCAGGGAAACTCAGAGACACAACAATTCACAGACGCTCACACCTATCAATAATTTAGAGAAGCCAATGAACCTAACAGTCATGTTTTTGGACTGTGAGAAGAAGTCAGAATACCTGGAGAAAGACTGCAGGCCAGAAATTGAACCCAAAACCTTGCTGCAGGGCAACAGCGCTACCCACAGCCCCACCATGCAGCCCCCATATGAAAGGTAGTAGTATTGTATTGATAAGATCTTCTGCCCTCTGATAATTGGATCTCAATGCTTCCCTCTGACCTACAATTAGTGCCTTGACCTTTGAATGTTTGTTGCATCCACCACCCTGCCTTTAATGTCCCAAATAACCAAGTCAAGTCTAAAGCCCGGGTCACACTAGCTGTATCCAGATTTTTTCATTTCTGATCTGACTTTCAAGGTCAGTGTGACATGGAACATGTGCACACAAGTATAGAGAGGCTCATACTTCATGACCAGCCTGCGCAGCCATGCTCTTAAACCAGAAGAGATAGGAGGATTGTAAATATGTAAAAAAATATAATGGGAATGAAATTTTTAATAAAAGGAAAATGCAGCAATAAAAACTGTGAGACAGTTTATATATGCTATTTACTGGGTAAGGCAGGGAGAGGTGATTCTCAGAGAGCAGTTTGAACTTTTATTTTATAAATATAAAGAGGGAAGAGTGATAAGCTGAACTTTCCTGTGCTGTTCCTTGTTTTAATTTTTGCCTCTTTGGCTCAAAGAGGATCACTATTTTACCAAAACTGTTGTCTGTTCTCCTGAACTCCTTTCATAGGTATTCTGTTTAGTAAAATGTTTAATTGATTGTTTATGCCCAGTGTGGCCAGCCTGTGTTGTGCAACTCTAAACCTGACTGGTTTCTCTTGCGATTGACAGATTTGACTTTCTATTTCCCCCAAAGTGGATGTGTTTTACTTTGCAACCCCATATCTCTTCATGTTAGACCCATGAAATTACTAATGAACTGCTGCATATTGTGATTATAACAGGCCTGGTTCCTTGCAGAAAATGGCGTGGGGTCTGTTCATACCTATTCATTGTCAATGAGCAAGAAACAACATGACCTCTTACAACCCAATTTTCTGTCAGATTTGATGCAAAATCATAAGTTCCCCCCTTCTTCATCTACTCTGATGTCCCCGAACTCTCTGCTGTTCAGCTCACCTTAAAGCAGTTTGATGGGTGGATTGAATATTTTGCACATTCTGCTGCTCCTACCAACCACAGTCACCAGCCTGCTCTGTCATCCGACAGAGTTACAAAACTATTCCTGAGTTTCCATCCATTGTTGTTATTGTATTGCTCACCAATATATTGTGTTTGGATTTTGGGGTCTTCACTGTGACTCATCCCAAGCCTACATCTGACAGACTAGAATGTATGCAACCAATTAAGCATCTGTACACCTACCCTTGGTAAGAGCTCAGAATCACAAAAAAGTGAAATGGCAAGCTTTTTAAGCTACAGTGGTCTTCATTTTATTATTTTTGAACCAGGGCAAACAAGAAATCGGATTAGAGTGAGGGGTAAGACATGCGGCAAAGGTCAAAAAGACGGGACTCAAACCTGCGGCAGCAAAGTCAAGGACCAAAGCCTCCAATCCTCCAAAGCCTCCAATCTATTCATGGAGCCTCTAGCCAGAGCATGTGTATTTTAAAAACATTTTTATTAGAACTTGTAAAGTCAGACGCAAGCACTGTATTTTTGCCAATGAAAGGAAATATTGTTTGTGGAGCCTATGGTAGTATAGTTGTACTCCATACCAACCCAAAAGCCATATGCTGCCTACAAGGAAAACCATCCCAATACCTATGACTTACTGACGTGCACTGTTTTACATTTTAGGGAAAAACTGATGTTGTCAAGTTGTGAGTTTCAGATTTTCCATTCAGAAAAGGTAACAGTAAACTAGTGAAAATCCAGTTAGTCACAGTAAAAGCTCAGTCCATAGCCATGTTTAAGATAGAAACATGACTAAACACTGAAAAACAGGCCAGGCTCCAACATCTATAAAAAAAGGTGTTGAAGACAGCAGCCCAGTTGATATTTTTCTCCAGGATGAAGTCACAGCTAAAAATGAACAGACCAGATGAAGATACTATGAAAAAAAGCAGAGAGAGCAGAACGTTAGAGATTGAACAGATTCTGCAGAGTGGAAGAATAGAGATAGAATGAGGCAGTCCCTATAGGCTGGTTTATACTCAGAAACCAGGTGGTGTGTGTGTGTAGCAGTGAACACTAATATCACTAACACTCTGGTGCACCTCTCCAAAATTGTAGGCAATCGCAGACAGTAATGCAGACAGGAGGCCTCTGATTGGTCAAATCTACATCCGCTCTACACTGTATTTCCTGTTTGGTACCTTATCGGCTTTTTTTGTTTGTATGACCACCATTGTTGAAAACAAGTCGTGAAAAGGAAAGTTTTAAGTCTAGCCTTAAAAGTAGACAGGGTGTCTGCCTCACGGACTAAAACTGGTAGTTGGTTCCACAGGAGAGGAGCCTGATAACTAAAAGATCTGCCTCCCATTCTAATTTTAGACATTCTAGGAACCACTAGTAAACCTGCAGATTGAGAGCGAAGTGCTCTGTTAGGAACATAAGGAACAATCAGATCTCTGATATCAGATGGAGCTTGGCCATTTAAGGCTTTATATGTGAGAAGGAGGATTTTAAATTCTATTCTGGATTTAACAGGAAGCCAATGAAGAGAAGCCAGGATAGGAAAGATATGATCTCTCTTTTTAATTTTCATCAGAACTCTGGCTGCAGCATTTTGGATCAGCTGAAGGCTTTTATCTATAGTTTGTGGACTTCCTGATAGTAAAGAATTACAATAGTCCAGCCTTGAAGTAACAAATGCATGGACTAGTTTCTCAGCATCACCCCTGGACAGGATGTTTCTAATTTTTGCAATATTCTGCAGATGAAACTCTGATATGGGATTTAAATGACAGCTCCTGAAAGGAGAAGGTTGCCATGTCATGTAAGAAGCTATTCTGAAATACTCAAAGTTCTGCTGAGTGGATGTTCATCATCAGCTTCAGCCTAAACATAATTTTTAGATACATCTGCAGCAGATGCAATGATGGACATGTAAAGAACTAGGTGGGGGTCTGCAGAAAAAAATGCTGCATGTCTTAAAGCTTCTGCATTTCCCAATGCAGTAAAGGAAAACCATCTGTTTCTTAGTTTATCAAGAGGAGTTGAGAAAAAGCAGCCTTTATTATCCCCAGTTCTACCCTGACTCCTCTGATGACCGCTGCAGCTTAGATGAATGCTACACCACAGAGCAGATGCACACCTTGGATGGAAAGCATGTTATTAAATATTTAGAAAACAAAAAAAGTTAATGTCATTAAAGTCTGAGAGGCAATTTCCACATCAGATGCATCATCAGGCTTTACATGCAACTATAATCCTTAACCTGTGCATACTCTCAGCAGCAGTGTGTGAATTAATGGTGAAAAACAGTGTGTTAAAATCATTGCTTAAGATAAATAACAGGCATGTTGGATGTAAGGGTGATACTGCAGAGTAAAGTTGTGTTCCTGAAGCAAAAATGGAGCAACATATAACTGCCGAACCTTTATTTTCGAGGTCAGTTTTTCCCCTCTCAGCACCTGCTCTCATCTCTGGGACAGAAGAAGGTTTTTCTGTATTTTACTGAGGTTCTGTTGGAATTGTGGGTCGGCTGCAACAAGATGAGTCCAAAGCAAGCAGGTATGAAACAGGGATTTAATATCACAGTTCTAATGTACATTTATTACACATCTTAAATAAATATTTCATCTTTGAAATTATTATGCACATCCTCAAATAAAAATATATCTATATATGTATTAAAAAAGACATTAAGGAAGAAACCAGAACCCTTGAAGTGAGGGGCACAAGGAGCTCGTGTTGGACAGGAGTCGCTACAATCAGCTCAGGAAGTATAAATATAGCTGCCATGCAAACTCTGTTTGCTCCGCCCGGTCCGAGGTGTCTGGCCAACAGCCCAAACACTGCAGAGCTCCCACCGAGTCGTTGCTTCCCGCGTCTCACAGTGTGTCCGTAAACTCGGCCGTGCCCTGGCAGTGCGCTCATGCAGGCTCCTTCAAGTCTCCTTCAGCAGCAGACCAGAGTCCAAGTAAAGACTTCTTTCGTCAAAACTATGCAATGAACCCAACGACCCAGCATTCTACCAAGATGCTGACGAACAACGGATCATATGTGTTTAAAAAAAAAGAAATGCTCTGTACTAAACAGTTTGAAGTAAAAAAATAGAACGTACGTGGATTCATTCCTTTATGTCCATGAATTTCCTACGTACGCTTCAGAACATTTTCAAATAAGCTACACATTAGGATAGCATTTGAAAAAAAAATCTAGCTGGTTGTCCAGTTGAGACGGGGGCAGAATTTCAGTGTGTCCTTTCTCCCCCCTTTGTCCTTTTCAGAGCTTCCTCCTCAGTGCGGTGAGGAGTAGTATGTGCGTTTAGTCCGTGGACTGAACGGGTAGTGGATGAAGTCAAAATGCCGATGCTGGCCCGGGTGGCTGGGCTGCTGCCCCTTTGGCAACCTCTTCATAAAATGCACTTCTCTCTGGTGCTGCCGCGTCCTGGAGCCGCGGCGTGGGTGCCCGCGGCGGGTGAAGGCCATGTACCAACTGTCATAGCGGGCGTTCCTCAGGGCCGTGTAGTTGTTTTCCAGGACGATCTCTGTGAAGATACAGTCCCGTCCCTGGCCATTTTCCTGCAGGGAAAAACATTTAAAACATCCTTGAGTGAGAGATACAGATGGGAATATCAGGCTAACCCCCCCGAACACACCAACACACACGCACACTCAAAGAGCATATGCTACAGTCATTACAGATCAGAGAGCGGCCGAACGTCAGCCAGCCGTGACTCTTTCTAGCTTCTACTCCCAGTTTGACCTTCTGGGTGCTTGTGAGCCCATCACTAAAATCCAGCATATCTCATGCATGCTGTGGTGTTTCTCCTCTCTCCATTAGACTGTCCTGTGTAGACATCCATCCACATCAGAGGCTGGTGGACCACAGCCTTCATAAAGAGCCTTCATACAGTAAGGTGATGTAAACCTGCTCCATCCTGGCTTACTGTAGCCACCATGCAGCTTTACAGGCAAAGGCTGCGTTAAAAATAGCAGAGAGGAACCAACGTACACACAGCGACCCAACAGACCTGCTGCATGCTCATTCCTTGTGCCTTTTGCTCATGTGCGTGTGCACACACACCGAGGATGGAGGCTCGGGGCAGATGGTGTTCGAGGCGGGGTGCTGGGTGGGTTGGGGTGGGAAGAGGTGGAGGGATCTGCTTATTAGCAATCACAGTGAGGGAAGGGTGGTGGCATAAGCCTGGGCTTCTGACACGCACCAGCAGACCCGTATTAGAGCATCATGTCCAGATCAGAGCTGGATTCCAATATGGACGCTTCCTCTCCTCCCCGCTGCCTCAATGGCAGCAGGAGCCGCCGCGTTAGAGCGCAGGGTGGACTCACTGTTTCGGCTTTTCCCTGATCATATTTCCTCTAATTGAAAGGTGACCTCAGGAGGCCAGGGGTGGACACAAACAAATAAGGGGTGACCCCTGCTACAGAGAGGTCAATGCAGAAAACATGCAGCTCACTACTGTCTGCAGCCATCTTTGACTGCTTCACATCTCTGCACTCTGAACTTTTCCATAACTCCCCAAAATGTCCACTTCTTTATCTTCCTCTCTTTGTTTTACAAGGGGAGCTACTAAGAACCCTAACCCTCCCCCACCCCTTCCCCCGTTCAGCCTTTGGTCCTCACCTTGCCAATGAGCTTCCCCTTCTTGTTCATGCAGATGTAGAGGCCCGTCTCAGCTCCCTTGATCCGAACCCGGCTGCCAAACGTGTCGGTCTCTACGATGAGCTTTGCTGAGGGAGGAAGGAAGACGGGTTCGGTCAGAAAAGTTCTGTCGATCTTCTCTATGTGTTCATTCACACAAATCAACATCGGTGAAAAAATAAAAGTCTGAGAGCATTTCAAAGACATACTCCCCCCAGTACACAAACATCCAGTAGAACCTATGGGACCATTCCTGGGGATTTATGCCGGCTGAAATTCCCACACAATGATAAAACCACGTGTCTGCTGGTTCTTTGAAAGCTGAAGGACGATCCGGGCTGCGCTGCTGGGAATTCCTGCTATCAACCCCCGTAAACCTCCACATTTATCTCCAGAACCAAATGGCTTACAGCAAAGAACCCGTGAATTTCTCTTTAATAAGCATCAAAGACAACTATTAAATGTTTTAGTTTTCACCTTTAGCTGTTGGACTATGAACCCAAACAAAGTTTAATCCAAAATGTTTTGAATTTGTTTCATGTACAGATTCTAAGACTAAATTCACCTCTGGATGGGGGGGGAACCATGTGGCCAAAACTTCAGTTTAACTTTTATTTCTCAATTTTGGTCAATACTATATAATTTTTATATCAATATAAACGTATAAATGTATATTGCCTCAGAAAGACTAATAAAAGCCCACAACTGACTTCTGAATGATTTGATAAATTTATAAAACTCTGACTGCAGCCCGATCTTTATCGAAATTTCAGAAACAGTTATTGGTTAAACTTATATTTCGAAAAACATGTTCATTTCAAATTACTTTCCACCTAAACATATTTTAACTTCTGACTTATTTTAGCAAATATTGAATCAATATTTATGTATTCTAATCTAAATTTAGAAAATTTGCCTTCAGTCGTTAAAAAAAAGACAATCAGATTTTAAAATGTGGCAAAAAAAGCCTTTGAATTAAAATATTAGGAACAATAAATACATTTCAGGATTTGCCTGAAGAGTATTCAAAAGGGATAAATAAAGCTGAGTCCAAGACTAGGAAAAATTAAAAAAGATTTAGGATTTTAAATGAAAGAAACTCAATGATGAGAATTTAATCAATAAAAATAAAATTCTATTCTATTCTATTCTGTTTTATTCTATTCTAAATGTTTTTTTGTTTTTTGTTCTGGGGCAGGCGGGCGGTCTTACCGTGCGCGTCCCCGTCCTCAGCCATGGCGTTGATCTTCTTGTTGGGCAGGACCTGGACGTGCTTTCCGCTGGTTCGGCTGTAGAGCTGGTAGATCCGGATCAGCCTGCGGCTCACCCGGTCCGTCACTTTGCTCTGCTCGCTTACATGCTGCGTGAAATTAGGCGGGGACTGATTGGTTACCTGTCAGAAATTAGACGGCATCACAATTATCAGCTTTATTGTTGACTAATTATTTTAAAGCCAATTAAGGATTTAAATGTTTTAATGTTAAGTGAAGATAAATTGAGGGTGGATAAAGTAGCCTAAATCAAAATGTGGGCCTACCTATAGATCTAACTAATTAGGCGCATTTTTAATGAAAACTTAATGAAAAATAAAAAATAAAAAAAGTGAAAAGCAAACAAAAACGCGTCGGTTGTTCTTTTCTCTTTCTTTCTTTCTTTTCTTTTTTTTTTTTTTTTTTTTTTTTTGACAAGCTGCTGTAACAAGCTCCAGAGGAGCGGCTGCCAGAGGAAGGTGACCGCGTCCAAAAGGACCGACTCCGTGATTACAGGTTGTGCGTAAAGAGAAAATGCGCCTCTGCTCTGGAGGACGGAGTGAGACACAAACGGACTAGGCCTAAATGTTGGATTATTCTGTTAAGGAAACATCCACCCTGATTTACTGGGCGTAAACAAAAACAACAATTTGCCTCATTTAGGATCAAACTAATAATCTATTTCTAACGGGCCTCACGGCGTGTGCCCGCGGTCCGGTGCGCCGTGGAGGCCATCAAATACTGTTGCATCAAGTCTCTGCCGCACATTTTTCTGTTTTAGATCTAAAATTGTATAATTTGAAGAAAATGTTTGCATACCTGAGCGTAGTAGCAGAACGCAAACAGGTGCAGGAGCCTGCAGAGGAGAAAGCAGAAGGAGGGTTATTTCTCTGGGAGATGCGGTGCGCAGGGATGGAAGCAGAGATGGAGCAAAGCTCTCACAGATAGCTGACGGTCCGCATGTTAGATGGAGGTCAGCGCACTGTCAGGTGTCCGCACAGGTCCAGCTCCTCCAACACTTCAGATCGAGTCAACAAGTCCACCAGCGTTCAGTGCGCTCCTCCAGGGGTCAGAGCTACTGACAGCGCGGCCCACGCACGTCCAGCTGTCGCATTTTTCCAGGACATCAGAGCCCGAAATGATGATGATAATGATGATGATGAGAGTAAAACAGGACTTTAGTTTGAAGTTTGGACGAATTGGATTTCCTCCGGACGGTCCTGGTTGGGGTCTGCGGCCTCCAGGTGAGAGTGATTCCGCTGCTGTGTGCTCTGTGAGCGGCTCGGTGGTGTCGCTGGGTCCTCCTGCTGCTGCTGCTCCGCTCTCTAAGGCAGGACTGCTCCCATCCATCCCATCCCGCTGCTCCCCGCTCCGCTCACACCCAGCCAGAACAAGCCCCCCTTTTTCTGCAGAACAAAAGCGGACACCCTGACCCCCCCCCCCCCCCCCCCCCCCCCAAACACACACACCTCTCCCCTCTCCTCCCTCCTCACCCTGCACACTCCTCCCCCTGTTTGAAGCATCTCTCTACCTGAAAGGAGCGGGGAGGTTCTGGAGGTTCGGGTCTGGTCCTGGTGGCGCTGTCCGGTCCTGGAAGGTTGCATGACCCGCAGACTGTGGGTTCCCAGGAGCTACGCGTGATGCTGGGTCTGCTCAGCTTGTGTATTGGCACCTCGAAGCGAGAGACATTAAAAGGATTACAGGCGATTAACCCCCCCCACCCCCCCCACCCACCCCCAACAGAAATAAATAATAATAAAGATATAATCTCAGCTTTAAAGGCAGAAATAACTAATTAATTGTTTTCTGACGCTCATCTCGTTAAAGGTCCCGCTCATTTGACAGGATCACAGAACTCCATGAATTAATCAAGCTGAAAACCAGACACCCTTAATTACCCAGAACTAATGGACCGCTGTGGACACTGTGGGTTCGAGTTGATGAAATTGGGCCATTTACGCCTCGGTAGAAATAAACTGGCTGAATAAACAATGACAGATTAAATGTTCTGGACTACAGCCATCCGGATCAGATAAAGAAGCAGAACCCTGCAGGATGAGAGAACTTCCAGAAGAACCTTCCTACCGATCAGAGGCGCTCCTGTCGTCCTTCCCGTGTGAAACAGCAGTGGGCGCTCCGGGGACAGTGATGGCGGAATGGGGTCTGATCTATCAGCTCATTGGTCTCAGTCTGCCCCAGGAACTGGCTTTCAGCTAGTTTCCAGAACCCTCACGGTGTGACCTGCAAGCAGGTAGTTTCCATTCACATGATACATGATCTCCATCTCTAAATGCAAAAACAATGACAAGAGTCAACCACAATAAATACATGGCTGAGCACACTAAAACACAACTATGTAATATTTTTACATAGTATAACATAGTTGAGAAAAATAACAGATTATACAACAATTCAGAAAATAAATTAGGTTAACTTTGGGAAAACTAATTTTTAAAACACTTCTAGGGAATTAAATGTGAGCAGGGTACAAATGAAACAACCACTTCTTCAGAGTCTTCACTGCTATAATGATGGATGGATGGATGAATGGATTACGGATGCATGGATGATGGATGGTGGATGGATGGATAGATGAATGATGGATGGATAGATAGATTACGGATTTGAGGGATGGAGAGATAGATGGATAGATTAATGGATGGATGGATGGAAAGATGGGTGTGTGGATGGATGGATAAATGAATGGATGGATGGATGGATAGATGAATGGATGGATGGATGGGTGTGTGGATGGATGGATGAATGGATGGATGAATGGATGGATGGATGGGTGTGTGGATGGATGGATGAATGGATGGATGGATAGATAGATAGATGAATGGATGGATGGATGGATGGATGGATGGATGGGTGTGTGGATGGATGGATGAATGGATGGATGGATAGATAGATAGATGAATGGATGGATGGATGGGTGTGTGGGTGGATGGATGGATGGATGGATGGATAGATGAATGGATGATGGATGATGGATGGATAGATGAATGGATGGATGGATGATGGGTGGATGGATAGATAGATAGATGAATGGATGGATGGGTGTGTGGGTGGATGGATGGATGGATGGATGGATTACGGATGCATGGATAATGGATGGTGGATGGTGGATAGATGAATGATGGATGGATAGATAGATTACGGATTTGAGGGATGGATAGATGAATGGATAGATGGATAGATTAATGGATGGATGGACGGATGGATAAATAGATGAATGGATGGATGGATGAATAGATGGATGGATGGATAGATGAATGGATGGATGGATAGATGAATGGATGATGGATAAATAGATGAATGGATGGATGGATGAATAGATGGATGGATGGATAGATGAATGGATGGATGGATAGATGAATGGATGGATGGATAGAGGAATGATGGATGGATGGAAAGATGGATGAATAGATGGATGGATAGATGAATGGATGATGGATGGATAGATAATTGGATGGATGATGGATGGATGATGGATGGATGGATAGACAGATAGATGAATGGATGGATGGATGGGTGTGTGGATGGATGGATGATGGATGAATGAATGGATGGATGGATGGTGGATGGATAATGGATGAATGGATGGATGATGGATGGAGTGAGAGATGATGGATGGATGGATGGATGAATGGATGGGTGAATGGATGGATGGATGATGGATGGATGGATGATTGGATTGGCTTTGTTCAAAATGTGAACATTCCCACTCATTCCCATCTTCATACTTTGGGACTTGGGCATTTATCATGAAGAAATAACAGCATTACCTCACGACTGTCCTCTCTGACCATATTTTAATAACCTTTGAAATTATTTTAGCAGAGTTTTCCTCCCCAAAAAGAAGGTTTCACTTTAGCAGTTCACTATTAGATAGTCCAATTACAATTTTAAAGAACCTGTTCCCAACTTCTTCTATGTTCAGTTTTATTGACACCACACACCTGGTATGCTGACAACCAATTACACCCAGGAAGTCCTATCAGACGTGAAAGAGAGCTAAAAACGGTGCTTGTGACCTTTTACCTGTTTTAGTAGCAAACACCTCCTTCTCAACACAAAGATTGAGTAAATAAGAGGCTAAACTCATTCTGGGTTGCCCACCTATCGTTCTTGTAGTGGGGGTGGCTTTCTAGAGGCCGCAGGCCTAATTTGTTCCCCTCTTAAAGGAATAGTACACCCAAAACATGATTAGCCTTCATTTTCTACTCACCCCCATGCTGAACAACACTCTGGAGTACTTTTTTGATATCTCAAATGCATCTGGAGATCTGGGAGGCTTCTTGCTGTCTGCTGACATTCAAATAATGGAGGTCTATGGTGACCGAGACAGAAAGGTCCATAAAAGTCCACAAAAAACGTGTCAATATTCCTCCATACTGCTCGTCCAATGTATTCCAAGTGTCCTGAGTGGGTAGCATCCAGAATTTACTCGAAACGAAGTCATTTAGAATGTTTTTAGAGCATAAACAGTAGTGTATAGGATTTCCTGAAAGCGCGCACACGCGCGCTCACGACGCTACGGAAGCCGGCAGACCAACCAGATGAAAGTGCGCATTCAGCGTCTGCTCTTCCAATAATGCAAGCGTAGAAGAAGAAATGTGCTGTTTACCTGTGCAAAGAAAGAAACAACGAAAGAAAAATGTCTGAGGACTTCAGTGTTGAGGAAGAGCATGAGTTCTTTGCCGAGCTGAATGCGCTGGTTTGGTCTGCCGGCTTCGGGATCGCGCATGTGCGCGCTTTCAGGAAATCCTATACACTACTGTTTATGCTCTAAAAACATTCTAAATGACTTCGTTTCGAGTAAATTCTGGATGCTACCCACTCAGGACACTTGGAATACATTGGACGAGCAGTATGGAGGAATATTGACACGTTTTTTGTGGACTTTTATGGACCTTTCTGTCTCGGTCACCATAGACCTCCATTATTTGAATGTCAGCAGACAGCAAGAAGCCTCCCAGATCTCCAGATGCATTTGAGATATCAAAAAAGTACTCCAGAGTGTTGTTCAGCATGGGGGTGAGTAGAAAATGAAGGCTAATCATGTTTTGGGTGTACTATTCCTTTAATTGAAGTTCAGGAAAATGTTTTGATATGTAACAACCAGCAGTTAGTTTTCTACCTCAGGAAGACCTTCATATGTGTCCCTGGTGTGACACCCCTGACTTAAAGGGCTAAACCACCGGACTGCCAGCAGTCAGACTCTGCAACTGAGCTTATTCTAGGACAATGGTGATAGGACTGGTACGTATTTCAAGTACGAGGGTGCAGATAGCAGCTGGGTACAGTTTAAAGGCACACTATGCAACATTTTTCAGTTAATTAATGTGTTCCATAACGTTATGGGTGATTAAATGAGTCATTTCAGGTTGAACAAAGGTATTCTCGGCCGCCCTGGTGGTCTGTGGGGGAAATACTGCACTTGCAATTGCAGGAGCACCGATCCGCACCCACAGGCTCAGAAGTCTCGCAAGAGTCGGTCTTGTTTTACGGCGAGAACTGCTACACCCCCCAGTTAAAAGCATTCTCGTTGCTAGCACAGTGGCGATCTTTGTGCAGTTATGCTACGTTCACGCAGCAAAAGCAGGAAAATCGTGTCTGCTGCTTCATTTTTGCTGCTTGTACCAGTTAGTTCTGACGCGCGGCTGAAGCAGCTTTGCTGCTCTGGCTGCGCGGTGCAAAAGTGGCTCTGACGCGCGTTGGGCGGAGCTTCACTATCCTTTCTCTGCCTTGCAGCTATATTTGCTGTGATCATTTGGAATAAAGTAGTTTTAATATGTGTTTAAATGAGAAAATACACATGAAAACGTAATCAGTGCCGTCAGTTCATTCAGATTATTATCCTGCCTTCAATATTTTTTCTGTCGGAGCCGCTCAGACCCCCACATACCAGCGGTGCGCCGACAGAAGGAATCCCTTCATCAGCAGCCTCTGGCCAGGTCACGTCCTCGCGGTTCACCGCGGCAGCTGGTAGGTATTTTTCATCTAAATAATCCAAACTGCATATTCTGCCGGCAGATTTCTGCATTTTAAGTTAATTTAGGCGTCAATAAACTGTTTAAGAGGAGAGATCATAGCCTCTGATCATAAGCGCTGTGTCTCTCTCCCTGCTTCAGCTGCTCAGACGCGCTGGGCCTGCTGCTCAAAACGCGCCGCGGGACCTTTT